GAGCTGGCACCTGTACTGCGGGGCAGAGCCCTGGTGGCTTTCTCTGTGGCCTTTAGGAAAGCATGGCATTTCATCTACAGTGCACCCCTGGGAGGGCTGCAGGGTTCAGGGTTCACTCGTTTCCATACACACTGGCTAACTTTTTGCTATGTGACACACCCATGTGGTTTTCCAGGCCTTACGCTGAGTTAGTATATGAGACTTTTTGATCCTAAATCCATGTCCTTGTGCTCACTGTCGTTGTCCAGTGTAGCGGGGCGGGGGGGGGGGGGGGGGGGGACAGGCTGGCATCCCTTTGCCGCCCCCGATGGCGCAGTGCTCACGCAGCTCACTTCATTCGCCACCGTCATCCGCAAAGGCAGCCGGAACCTTGAGGGCAAGCATTGCATCATTTCTGATAAAACACTTTCCAGATGAGGTGTGACTTTATGTTTTGTTAAACAAGGTCAAAGTAAGAGTAGAATAGAGAAGAGCTGGTTGTTGTTATGAGCAGACACAACTGCACGTTTTTAAATGAAGTGATTGAGATGTTATTTTCATATTTTGGAGCATCACAAAGGTCTGGAATAATAGTTAGCAAGGTCTCCTGTCTCAAAACTGAACTTTGTCCACCCGTCTCAGAGTGATGGTGAGCTGCCCAGTTGTCAGAAATCCTAAGCCTGGGAGAGTCTTGACTTACTGGCTGCTGGTGGCTAGTCCTCTGAGGCCTGTCTGTGCCTTACGGCTTCTCTCTTGCTGTCGCCAGCCCTGTGCTCAGAAACTCAGGCTAGCCAGTCAGCATCCTCTGAGACACAGCTCCTGTCTACAGACTCTCCTGTATCTAGATCACTTGGCGATGAGAAGCCCTGGACCTACAGAGCCGAGCCAGACACTCCAGGGCCATCCTCCTGGACCATCTGTTGACCCACACGTATTAGGCGCCTGATGTAACCCAGCCAGTCCTGTCCACTCCACCCTGTGTCAGCCCCACCACCCTCCAGCCCGGCTTCTATGTAAATCCCTGACCTCCACCCTCCCCTTCGGATGCCTCCTGTGGTGTCCTTACCATCCTTACCAGCTCGGGGGTAATCCTCCTTCTTCATTTGGATGCTCCGGTCTCAGCAGCCTCAGCAGTTGCGGGGTCCCATTCTCTTTCGGTCTCAGCCCTTCCTTCTAGGCAGACACGCTGTGGTGTTTGCTGGCTTCTCGGTGACGGGGAGGCCATGCCCCTCAATAGGCATGGAAGGACCCATGCCCATGAGGCCAGGATAGCACAGCAGACCCAGGTCCCCAGGGGGGCGAGAGAGAGAGAGAGAGAGAGAGAGAGAGAGAGAGAGAGCCCTTGGTACAAGCCGTGAGCAGACTGCCCATGCCTTGAGTTTTATTTTCCCCAGAGGAGCTGAAATGCAAGGATTTCAAACTCTGAGACCTTAGTTTATGGCGAGTGTTGAGGCTACATCTGAACCACGCTCCACGTTAAGCAGGCCCTTAGAAAGGCTTCGCAGAAACAAAAGCCCGAACCCCGGGCGCTACTTGTGGGCCCCGATGTTCTGAGTGAGAGGCAGAGCTTGCATGGTTTGGGAGTCTTGCTCCGTGTTGGGGGTGGGGGAATCATTCTAAACAATTTGGGTTGTTTCCCCGGAGAAAAAAGGTCACATTTCTATTGGGAAACTAGGCAGCTATTTTAGCTGAAGATGTAAGGAATGAAATATTTCCCAGAGCAGGAACCCTCGGATACGTAGCCAGTAAGTAACACGCACTGGCTGACGCACTAAATTTAACTGTGCTCTCAGTGACGCTTGTCCATGCAAAAGGCCTGGACACGGTCGGATGGAAATTTCCCTCAGAATATAAGAGCTGAAACCTGAGTTAATTTGATGATCAGAATCACAGCTCCTTTATGAAGTCATAACAGGCCCGTTAGTACACTGTTGGAGATGAAAATTTCCACTAGCAGCTGCTTATCTTCATTGGTGAGTTAGAAAGCATAAAATGGAAGGTGTTTTCTATCAGATTACATACCTGGAGAATTTTCTAATTGCTTTGGGATCTTAACGATGTTAGGCAAGTACTATGTGCAGTGAGTCAGGCTGACATATTTTGTTCTTTTTTTTCAAGTCAGTTCCATTTTGGTCTCCAAATAAGGAAAGGCACATAGGCGTGTGTGGGACCTCGCTAATCCAGGCAGTAAACAATCTTCTGGCAACAGACTTAGAGACTGCTTCACTCATCTCCGTTTCATGGGCAGGCAGATGCTGGGTGCCCTCAGATGCATGGTCAGTGATGTGCTAATGTAGTATTCTCGTTGTGCTGTGACTTCCTGATGGACACCTGTCCCCTGGTGTTGGAGTCGTGTGGGCAGAGGTATACATAAAGCACTGTGCTTACCCCAGCTTGAAGACACCTATTGTCTCCAATAATAGTACCAGTCTCTATGGTTATTGGGATGGTTAAATGAAATGATGTATTTCAAGCCGTAGAGAAGTGTCGGGCAGAGAAGTAACATGAGAAAGCTGTACCTTTTCTAATTCGGCCTCTGAAGGTTGCTGCCTACTTTTAGGCTCTCTCTTCCGATGACCACTGCAGAGTGTTAAAGTGGCATTTCTATCAACTCCCTGCTGCCTCTCGATATTAAGGGATAGTTTGTACTGTTTGCACATTAAAATGATTATCCCTAAGCAGAAACTTGCTCTAAGTTCACCCAGATTCATCTGATTACTCTAATCGACCAAATTTACCATCCCTGAGTCTATATCCTTTAAGTCCATCCCATTTCCTACAACTGAATATACCCGTCACCCCCAATGTTGTTTTCCCCATCTCCATAAATGTCATTTCTCCATCCTGCTGCCCATACCAGAAGCTTGGAAGTCATCCTTCACTCGAACCTCTCCCCTCCACCCCACAGCTGGTCCCTCAGGAACTATCACTTCCACCTCAAAGATGTGGCTTCAATCCACCAGCCTCCCACCCCACACTCTGCACCTAATGCAAGCTGCTATCATCTCTCGTCTATGCAACAGCTTCCCAAGCAGTTTTCGTATTTCCGCTCACACTGTGTTCTCACCCATGGTTCACACAGTAGTCAAGGTAGAATTTGTGAACCAAAAAGGAGACCATGTCTTATCCTGACGTAAAGCTCTTCAGTGCTTTCCCATTGCAGGCAGAAAACATTCCAAGCACAGTATTGTGACCATGAGCTCTGCGTGCCCCCGGGGACGCCTCAGGGAGCCCTCTTCTAACCACTCTGGACTTTTTTTTATGACGCTCTTCTCAATGAATAAGCATATATTTATTTCTGTCATCCCTTGATAATTGTCACAGGCTTCACGAGGAGAGGTATTATATCAGTTTTGTTCGTCACTATATCCCCAACACATCGCATAATTCTTGGGACTTAGTAGGTGCTCAATAAATGGACTCATAAATAAACAAATGGACTCACCCCAAATTCTAATTGTGCCCTTGTGTTATTTTCTTGTCAAAGTAACATTTTAAAATATTAAAATTAGTTACTGATAATAGGGTGTGCCTGGGTGCAAGTCACTGGATCTCTGGTTTGTAGGGAGATGCCTAGGAACTTTATCCTGAAAGCCTTCTAGAATTATGCCCCAAAGCCTTAATACACATCACAGCACTGTCTGTTGAATGATGGCTATTTCGGTTTTGGTACAGATATTCAAAGTGGGCTCCTTCCTTCCACACCTGTCTCCGTTAAGATTTCCACAATGGCTGCTCCAAATCATGCATCCATCTCTTAAAGCCAAGTCATGGCCACACCTGTTAAGATACATGTTTAAATCTATCAGCTACTATTGAAATTTTTATAATGGCTTTGTCTACTAGCAAAATATGTCTGGCAAGTTTATGAGTGGTATAACTTTGAGCATGCTTGGCTGAGAATAGTGGTTGAATTGATATTAGGCTACATGTTTTACATGGAGCTATTTATCTATTAGGCATAAAAGGGCCGTTTACTAATTTAAGTTAACAAAACCACAAAGTTACTGGAGGAAATAAGAAATATTGAATAGAAGGAAGCGACACTTGAAATCTGTTTTCATTGCATTTTTACATTTTCCCCTTCATTCTTAAACTCCTTTCCCTCTGAAAAGCAGGAACGCTATATTGGGAAATAATGTGCCTTAAGAACCTGAGCCAGCAAGCTTATGATCCCGTGGTAATGACTTCTATAATCACTAATGAGCAAGGGACGCTGACTATCCCAGCACACTCACTGGGGCAGCCTCTTGCCTGTGCTGCAAGAAGCTGTCACATCACATTGTTGTCCCGACCCCATGGGCACTTTGATTCCTAGACCTTCCTGAGAAACCTAATCTGAAATCAAAGTCAGGTTTCTCAGATGTGGCCAGACAAGGTCACACTTAAAACAGTTCGATGAACCTGCCGACCAGAGTTGAAAGGTAATGCCTCCCTCCGGAACTTGGCAGACTTACCTTCGAGCTTACCTTCCAGTTCCCAGCGTGCCTCTCCCCCCTTCTCCCCAGTGGACTGGGCAAATGAGAGTTTATCCTCTGAAAGATGGTGAGGAATTTCCTCCAATCATTTAATTGGGAAATTGGGCACAGTTGTATTTTGGAAATGCAACTTGATCCAAGTCGGTGACTCACGAGGCCTGCTGTGGAAGGGATGTTTTGGTCAGAGATTGCAAGAAGTGAGATCTGGAAAGAAGTCCTTATTCCGAGTAGGAGCTTTTAAATCAGAATTGCATGGTAACTTCAGGTCCCTGGGCTTCGCTCTTGGCCTAAATCACCAAGATGTACCCACTCTCTCGAGTGGCCCCAAAACACCCCACAGGCTTGGGGCTGTCACGCTGTGGACATTCTTCCCCCGCTGCTGCCTTCCTCCCATGCCGTGCTTGCGATGTCACCAAAACGCGCTGGAGAGGGGAATGGTGACTCCTGTTAGGCGTGATCTTAACATCTCACCACACAGGTTTTTATCAAACTCCATGTGATTAAAAAAAACAACAACAACCTTGCCATTGCTTTATATTGCAGTGTTCTGTCTCTTGTGGTCGAGGGCATAAGCAACGAAGTGTTTACTGCATGGCAAGAGATGGAAGCCTTTTAGGAAGTGAGCACTGTAAGCACCTTGCTAAGCCCAGTGGGCACCGCGAGTGCCGAGGAGGAAGATGCCCCAAGTGGAAGGCTGGCGCCTGGAGTCAGGTGAGCAATGCTTCTCCCCTACGACTGCTTCGGGCCCTGGGACCGGTGTGCTGGCTTGTGCGCCTGTGCCCGGCTCTGCTTTCTCAGAGGGGAGCGCTGGCCTGGGAGGGAAGACTGCGTCAGGACACGTACCCGCTGTGGGACCTGGGCAGGTGGCTTCAGGCCTTGCACTCGGATTAATCCCTGTGGCAGGGTGGCTGTGAGGATGAATCCTAAGTGGTAGCCGCTGGAGATGGCAGATGTCTATCTCAGAGCAGCCCCTCCTGACTGCGCTTGTGTTACACGCACCCCTTGGAAGACACTCGTTCAGTGAGGCGGACCACGGTCTCCTGGCAGGAGCTGAGTGTGAATTTCCCGTGGAGGTTCTTAAAGAAAGGACTTTCAGTATAAAGTGTTAGAACATATGTCTCTGCCCATTTCCTTGTGTAGAGAGGTGGGGCTGTGATGCGGCCGTGGGTGCTTCTTTAACCTTCCTGAGCCTACCAGTACTTCACAGAGTTCTTACGAGGGCTCAGTGCCATGACGAGTGCCACATACTGCATCTCGCGGGCTCTCAAGAAGAGTCATTTGTTTGGATGCGTGTGTTTGGGAAGGTGCGAGGGGTTAGTGCCCAATAAGCTACTAATTCTAAACATGGGGTGATGTAGTCAGACATTGAGGACGGGAGTTTCACAGTTGAGTTCAAGAAGGAACTCTCAAAGCGGCTGTTTACTTTTAAACAACGGCTGCATGAGCTCCTCTCTGCATCTAGTCCTAAAGTAGACCTCGCCTCCCCACACGTGTACCTTTCTCGGAGCGGTAGAAGGCACTCGCTGAAAACTAAGGATGCGTGTTCTGCATTTCATGCCGCTGCTGCTCTCCGGGGCTTTGCTTCAGGGAGGTCTGAGGGAATGTGTGCTTCTCCTATGCACAGGAGAGCCGCACAGATGATCCTGAGAATCAATAAAACACTAGGGTCAAGGTTGGAAGCCGTCAGATTGGTTCTGCCTGGGCCTGGGTCTTGATCCCTAAGGCCCCAAAGAAGCAGTGGGTGCCTGAATTAACATAGGAGAAGCTGAGAATCCTCCATTTCTACATGACCCGTAGAAAATTCTAGAAATGTGAATTTTTCTTACATGATTTGAGCTGTCCCCAATACCTCCTGCCACACTCCACTTCCCTGCGTGTTCTCCAGCACAGGAGTCTGATTCCTCTCAAGGTATTTACCACAATGAACATGTTTTGCTTTTGTTTTAATTTAACCCTCAAAGCATGTTCCAGCCAGAACTAGGGCCTCCTTTGGTGTCCTCAAGGGGTGAGATTTGAAGGGTGTTTCCTGCGAGTCATCGTAATGGTTGTCTAAGTGACTGCTGTCATCTCCAACTTCTAGGATTTACTTTGGGAGCTCTTCAAGTCACATGAAAGCTTGCCGCTAATGTTCTTTAGGATTCCACACTAGCCTGTCCTTTATTAGACTTCCATGCGCTTACTTTTCTTTGTGTTCCTTAGCCTCTAACTTATCTATTTGCATATTTCCCTGAACATTAAGTTCAGAGCATGTAAAATGATGTCCATTTTAAAGTCCAGTTCTTTCAATAAAAAGGCAATGAGAAGAATCTTTCGCTCTTTATTAGTAAACACAGAGTGAGTTTTACTTCAGTATCCTGTGACTTGACGGGAAATCTAAAATTGCTCACAAAGCTGTGATGATTAGGTTTGAACCCCGGGGGTGTTTTCAAACGTAAGCTAATAGGATTATCTGAGCTCCTCCTCAGAAAACACCGCACCTGTTCAAAGTGATTGCTTAGAAAAGTCTAGTTCAGCGGTTCTCAACCTGGGGGTGGAAGGACCCTTTCACAGGGGTCGCCTAAGACCATCGGAAAACACATATATAATTACATATTGTTTTTGTGATTAATCACTATGCTTTAATTATGTTCCATTTGTAACAATGAAAATACATCCTGCATATCTGATATTTGCATTAGGATTCATAACAGTAGCAAAATTACAGTTATGAAGTAGCAACGAAAATAATGTTATGGTTGGGGGTCACCACAACATGAGGAACTGTATTAAAGGGTCGCGGCATTAGGAAGGTTGAGAACCACTGGTCTAGTTGAAGATGCAAGTCAGCACAGCCGGGTAGTGGTCTGTAGCCAGCTTTAGAATGCCCTGATTTGATTTGTAGAAAAGAATTAGGAAAGCGGGTAAGACAAGGTGCTGCAGAGGTAAAGCCCAGTTTGTGCAGCTTAGAAGGTGCCTGAAAGTAATCAGACCCAGTGGCTGATGCAGAAAGGCCGTCTGCATGATGAAGGATTATTGGCTCACTAATGATACGGTGGTAGACAGGAATACCCTGAAGGCAGCGATATTACAGCAAGAGTAATGATGATCCATTTGCAACAAATTGAGAAGATTTCATATCTGGTCCCTGTGTCTTCTGCTGGTAGCTATTTTCTGGTCATCTCTTCTTCAAGGTAGGAAGAATAATTAGTGCAATTTCTCATCATGTCAAAATGTCTAATGATAATAAGACATATGGAATATTGGGATAGGACACTGGGGTAGTTGTACTAATTAATCTTCGTAGTCTCTCCCTCAAAATTGGTGTTTTGAGGTTTAAAGTGGAATGTTTCATTCAACCTATACCTTTTGAAAATCTTGAAATTATAAAGGAAATTTCTCCAAGGAAAGGAACGCTTTTCTTGGGAAACATCCTCACTGTAGTTTTAAAGCAATTTTTTTCAAAAGTTCATGTTCAGGTTGTTTAGATGATTTTGATCAAGAGCTAAGGTTAGATAGATGCCTGTGAAATTTAAGACAAAATTCAACATCAGATTCCTGATTCCTCTTGATAAAAGTGAGAAACCTGTTTTGTCACAAATGAAAGCATTCCAGGGTGATCTTTTTTTTTTTTTTTTACTTTATCCGATTCCTATTGAAAGGCTTTTTAAAAAATGAAGATTAGAAGTGAAAAGAATAAATAATGGAATTAGAATCTATCAGTCATGAACTCATTCACTGGGTGCATTCACCAATCCTGAGGTACCCGTCTTTCTTATGATTTACCATCGCAAGGGTCAGGATGGGCCTAACAATCAGTGGAATGCCGTGACTTAGTTAACAGCCCCTGTTTTCTTTCTTACTGATAAAAACATGATGCTGTGCTTGCAATCAGTGGTGTCTTAGACTCAGGGCAGTAATTCATTTCTTCAAGCTCTTAGAGAAATTGCCAAAATAGAAACTGGCACTTGCAACATGAATCTACTGGCCATTTGGGTTAGGATTTTTGTCATGACTACAGTGAGAACAGCTTGGCTGTGGTGTCAGGCTCTGAAGTGCTCTGCACGTGTGTAAGGGAGCAGCATGGCAAATAGGTAGCTGTGTCTTTTGAGAAATCAAGGAGACGATATGCGCATGGTCAGCTTCAGAGACAGATGTGTGTACTCTCATATCTGTGCTTGTGTTTGGGCCGTAAGCAGAGGTTAAATTGTTTTGAATGCAGGCCTCTCACCTACACCCGTGCTGACATAGTACAGAAGACTGCCTCCTATTCGCACCATACGCTAAAGGTGGGAGCCACATTCTAATCCACAGTAGCTACAGCCAGTACATTGCCAGGGACAGAATTTACTTTGTTGTTGGTTTTTTCCTTGTTTCTGCTTGAGTTAGAGTGATTATATGTGCTCTTGGCTTAATTTACTTGTGGAGTATCTGCCTAAAAGGGTTACTAAGAAAATACAAAAGGTATTTCATGTAACGTGCTTAGCATAGAGCTATGCTCCCAACCAGGGTGGTTTTTTAACTCTCGAGACATTTGGCAGCATCTGGAGACAGCGTAGGTTGCCACAACCTGGTGGAGGAAGGGAAATGAAACTGACATCCAGTGGGTAGAGTACAGAGACGCTGCGAGACTTCCCATAAGGCACCGGGCAGTCCCCAACAAAGAAGAATATAGGGTGTGAAGCCCTAGTTTACAGACTGGTCATAGTCAATGCTTAGTAAAATGTTTCTGTTACTGTTGTTACTATTATTACATGATTATATTATTACTAGAGGCCCGATGCACGAAATTTGTGCAAGGATAGGCCCTCGCAGCCCCAGCTGCTGCCTCAGCCTTTGCAGCCCCGGTTTCGTCCGGAAGGTCGTCCAGATGGTCGCTCTGCTGTTCGGTCTAATTAGCTTATTAGCTCTTGATTATATAGGATATTTGGTTCATATAGTTACTTTTCAAGCTAGTCGCTCCTTTAAGTCATGTCACCACGGTAATACTGGGAGAAAGTTTCTATAATTCCCTCCAGGTTTTCAGCTGTATATTATGATTCCCCAGACAGAACTTCCACAGAGATTCTTTTATCTATGGAAGCACATAAGCGTCCAGTTCCCTCTTTAGGGTGCTGAGTTTTGCAAAGTAGCTCCGCACAGCGGGAGCACAGAGATGAAACCCAGCTCCAGCTCAGTTGTTCGGAACTGAAAACATTGCCTTTCAATCCCGCACAGATAGACTGCGGTGCGGAATGAGGGCAGTGGGGGCCACGTTCACACAGACTGCTTAACGTTTCCCCTTGACAAACGAGAAGAATTAAGCACGCACAGTGCACGCCACCACCACCACCACCTCCGGGGGCAGGCGGAGGTCTTTTTGATGCTGTTCTGTTCATGGGGTTTCTGCACAAACCTCTCAGGATTCGCCAAGCAAGCCTGGCTGGCTGTGTGTGCAAATCCTTGCATCCCCGAGACAGCACAGGAAAAAGCCTGGAGTCCGGAGAGGACCTGAGGCGGGGCACACCCTTCTAACACAGATTCCCATGGAGCCACGCGTGCCTGCCTTGCCATGCATTTCAGCCATTGGGAACCTTGCTGTCCTCTCACAGCTGGCTTTGACATTATAAAAGCCAGAAGCCACAGAGGTACATGATGTAATTGAACTTTCCTGTGTCTTTACTTGCCTCTGAAGAATTATCACACTTAAGGAAGTGAGTTCTTAAATGTTGCATACGTAGGGTTCTCGATGCCCTGCCTTCCTTCAGCGATAAGTGATTTACTCAGTAAGGACAGCATTTCAAAGAGGTTCTGTTGCCTGTGAGCCTGAAGAGTACGCACTCTACCGGTCTTTGACGTTGTTTCCCTTTCTTTAGGCTATTAAGGCACTGTGAGCTTTTGAATAGATATCAGCCCTGTGGCCGACTCAGATTTGTTTGTGTAACTGTTCTTTTTCTGTCGCTGTATTTCCATTTGGACACATTGTTCTGGAAATGTAGTGATTTGTATTGTAGACCCCAAATTTAGATCGCCAAAGGGCTGTTTGGTGGTGGTTGGTTGTGGGTGATGACAGCTGTTTGATGCTTCTGTCATTCGTGTCTAACTCTCCCGTGGCACCGTCCACTCGTTTCCAGGGTAATCGGTGGGAAATACTGGACATGTGGCTCCCGTGGCATTCTATTGCCATCCCCTGGACACAAGGCTGTCACTCCTGTTCAGGCGGTCCCCGTTCCACCGGGATAAAATAACTTCAAAAATCTCGTTTTTGTGGGTCACAAACTCACGCAATCCAATGAATACAAATAAATCCAAACAACAGCACCTATGTTTCTCCAGAATAGTTCCTCTCCAGCCGGCTTTGAGCATTGGAGCTCCTGCCTGGCACAGACTCATCTGAAACAATATGATTTCCCAAGCTGCCTTCTACACAGTATCACCTATTTTCTTAAAATCCGAATGGCAATAAAGCTCCTAGTCAGCAGAATCCAATGGGTGTACATGAGAGTAAATTTCCATGAGCTCAGCATGAGATGAGTCCTACTGCAGGTTAATTGGATAACAATTTCTTTCTAATTTAAGAGCGTAATTCTATTCTTTATAAAGACTTCCTCTTAGGAATATGGCTTTAATGTATGTTAAACTTGTTTTCTCCATGCCAGCCAAATTAATGGAAGCTGCGCTATCACAAAAACTTGGTAAACATTTTAAATAGCTAAGTGTAATAATACGCGGTGCCTTTAGTTTCTACCTGTCCAAGCCTTAATAAAGACCATCATTCTTGGCCTACCCATCAGTGAGATTACAAAATCCAGCAATGAGGAAGCCATTAAAAAATTAATTTAGAGGAAAGTTAATTGCAGATTTAATGTGGTGTTTTGCAACTTGGTCAACCAAATGGTTCAGCCTGATTAGCAGTATTTTTCAGGAGCTGAAACATTATGCCTGCGGAAAGGGTTTTACCTCATCAGCTTTTATTCTTATGTATTCATCTTAGGCTGTAGATAGACAGAAATACTTTAGTGCATTCCATAGTTTAAAAAAAAAAGTCATCCATCTCCAGGAATAGAAAGAGGAAGAGGTTGGAGAAAATACTTCTCCTACTTCCTCTCCTTGGGTTATTCTTTTAACCTGCCAAGAAGGTATTCCTGTAGAGTGCTGCAGTGCCGATTTTCAAGAGCCTAAGATCCTCCAGAATAGCCATCATTTGGGATTCCCACTTCACGTGGCAGCTCTATTTCTAGGTTGTACTAATGTTTCCTAATGATCTCTCCCAACCCCTTTATCATCCTAAGAGTTTTGTTCACTTTAGAGATTCCCCAAACTTCAACATCCTCCTCCTCCCCGACATGGGCAGGCAATGGGTCTCCTTCAGTGGGAATTAGAAAACCCCTGTGATAGCTGCGAAAGGCATCGGATGAGGGTGCATCCCCAGGTCCGGGACTCCCCGCCCCCCTCCACACAGTGGCCCACAGCTCCCACTTACACACTCTGTCTTCTCAGTGCTCTGTGTCCTGCGGCCACGGCGTGCAGCGGAGAAATGTGGGCTGTCAGCTGGGACCTCGCAAGGTAGCCAGAGAGACCGAGTGCAACCCGTACACCAGGCCGGAGTCGGAGCGCACCTGCAGAGCCCAGCTGTGTCCGCTCTACGCCTGGAGGGCAGAGGAATGGCAAGAAGTAAGTAGAACCATGAAGCGGGCACCTGCCAGGCCTTTTGCTCAACCCCCTTGCCATCATCACAGCTGTCCCCTTGAAGCCTTCGGGCACAGTGACAGGGCTGGCTCGGACCCAGAGGTCTGCGGTCAGAGGCAGGCAGCTCACTCCCACCCCGGTGGGGCGGCTCCTTTTTTTGCACAATTCCTCTGTCTACATCCTTGAAGGTTCCCAGTCCAGCTGCCTTAGGCAAAATGCTTGCAGATAACTGTCCTGGGAGGAGGGGAAATGGAGGAAATATTTTAAATATGTGTATCCAGGCTTGGCCGTTGTGTGTAGGCAGACAGCCACAGACTTGAGCTGGGACCCCCCTGTGCTCCTGCGTCCAGGTCTTGGCTGTGAGGTAGAAGACAGGCCCTCACTGAAATCCCGGTTAATTAGTGAAGTATTTCCACATTGAAAAATGATGGAATCTGAAGAACTGCTCCGTTGATGCAGAAACAGACAGACTTGTTTTTCTCCCTCTTAATAATTGGTTAAAGAAAATGTTAATGCTTAATGTTAACACTCAGTGAAATAATATACCAAATGTCCCTGGGGAAACGTCTGGCTGGCAAAGAAAGACATTAGTAGGAGGTATCCTCTGTATCAGAAGATTCGATTGTAGAAAAGAAGGGAAAGAGCTTTAGGAGGAAAACCACACCCACTGACATTGGAATGAAATAGAAAATGCATGCTGTTATGCACAATAGCCAGGACATGGCAACAACCCAAGTGTCCTTTGACAAACGATTAGCTAAAGGAGATGTGGTACACACACACGGGATGTGGTGCACACACAAGTGTAGGTTTATAGTTGTATTACAAATAAATGATACAGTAGTTCATAAATAATAATAAAAGAATAAACTCTGTGTTTCACATACTCACAACTGCAAACCTACAGTTATATAATGGAATACTACTTGGCCATAAAAAAGATGAAATGCTGCCACTTGTGAACTCATGGTCGGATCTTGAGAGTATTATGCTAAGCTAAATAAGTCGGGTGGAAAAGTACAAGAACCATATGATTTCACTGATATGTGAACTATAAAGCTGAAAGCAACAAGTTAATAAAAACAAACAAAAAGCGAACCCATAGAGATGACAGAATGGTGTGACGAGGGGAAGGAGGTGGGGGATAAGGAGGGTAAAGGGGATCAAATATATGGTGACGTCAGGAGACTAGACTTCGGGTGGTGAGCACACAATATGGTATACAGAGGCCAGATTATAAGGTGCATACCTGACATTTATGTAATGTTATCAACCAGTGTTATCCCAGTAAATTTAATTTTAAAAAAGAAAGTGCATGCTGTGAAAGGTTCAGAGATATGGATAATAAGACAGAAAGTTCTCCCCAGGAATAGTTTTTAGAACAGGGAGAAATCGTGCCCCACACTGGGCTAAGTGCTTCATGTCATCACCTCACTTAATCTTTGCAACCACTAGACAAAGTGGGTGTTATTATCACTACCCCATTTTGCAGTCCAGAACACTGAGGTTCAGAGAGCCAGTGTCATTCCTCCAAGTGCCACACACCTAGCAAGTGGAAGAAGCAAGACTCGATCCCAAGTTTTTTTTCCCTCTTAAACCATTATGAGATACTATGCTGCATTCTTTTATATTATCATTTTACACAAGTACTGTGACAATGCCACTTTTTTCCAGTTTTATTGAGATATATTTGGCATATAATATTGTATTCATTTTCAGTGAAAACATAATGATTTGATATATGTGTATATTACAGTATAATTACAACAGTAAGTTTAGTTATTAAAAACAGCTATATTATAGTTAATGTCATCACCTCACATACTTATACATTATTTTTCTTGTGATCAGAAGTTTTAAGACTCTCTTAGCAAATTTTAAATATGTGATAAGATATTTTAACTATAGTTACCAAGCTGTACATTACATACCCAGGACTTACTTACCTTTTTTTGTGATTGATTTTTAAAGCGATAGAGAGGCAAACCTTGATTTCTTGTTCCACTTATTAATGCATTCATTGGTTGACCAGGGATCAAACCCACAGCCTTAGCGTTTTAGGATGACACTCTAACCAACTGAGCTCCTCAGCAGGACTCAAGTTTGTACCTTTCAACCAGCTTCACGCATTCACCCATTCCCCCGCCAACCCCCCACCCCACCACCTCTGCCAATCACCTATCTATTCTCTATATTTATGTTTGGGGTTTTTTTTAAAGATTCCACATATAAGTGAGGTCATACGGTATTTGTCTTTCTCTGTCTGATTTATATCACTCTAATGCCCTCAAGGTTCATCCATGTTGTCACAGATGGTAGGATTTCCTTCCTTTTCATGGCCGAATTATATATTCCATTGTGTGTGTATGTATGTGTGTGTGTGTGTGTGTGTGTGATATATATATATTTTTTTTCTTTTCTTTTCTTTATCCATTAATCTGTTAATGGACACTTAGGTGATTTCTTGGCTATTATAAATAATGCAGTGGACATGGGGGTGCATATATTTTTCTGAGTTGGTGATTTTATTTCCTTAGGATAAATACCCAGAAGTGGAATTGCTGGGTCAGATGATGGCTCTGTTTTTAATTTGTTGGGGGAACCTCCATACTGTTTTCCTTAGTGGCTACACCAATTCACACATGAGGGTTCCCTTTTCTCCACATCCCCGCCAACACTTGTTATTTCTTGTCTTATCGATGATAGCCATGCTAACAGGTGTGAGGTGGCATCTCATTGTGGTTTTGATTTACATTTCCCTGATGCTTAGTGATGTCGACCACCTTTTCATATGTCTGTTGGCCATTTGTCTTCTTTTGAGAAATGTCTATTCAGGTCCTTTGCTCATTTTCAGTTTAATATAGTCCTACTTATTTAGTTTTGCTTTTGTTGCCTTTGGTTTTGGTGTCAATCCGAAAAATCTTTGCCAAGACTAATGCCAAGAAACTGACTCATTGTGTGTTCTCCTGGGAGTTTTATGATTTCAGGTGTTATGTTTAAGTCTTTAATCCATTTTTTTAAATATATTTTATTGATTTTTTACAGAGAGGAAGGGAGAGAGATAGAGAGTTAGAAACATCGATGAGAGAGAAACATCGATCAGCTGCCTCCTGCACATCTCCTACTGGGGATATGTCTGCAACCCAGGTACATGCCCTTGACCGGAATCGAACCTGGGACCCTTCAGTCCGCAGGTCGATGCTCTATCCACTGAGCCAAACCGGTTTCGGCGTCTTTAATCCATTTTAATTGATTTTTGTGTAAGGTATAAGATAGGAGTCCAGTTTCATTCTTTTGCATGTAGCTATCCGGTTTCCCAGCACCATTATTGCACAGACTATTCTTTCCCTTTTGTATAGTTTTGGCTCCTTTGTCTAAATTAACTGATTATATATATATTTCTGGGTTCTCTATTCTATTCCATTGATCTGTGCCTTTTTTTATGCCAATACTCTACTGTTTTGATTACTATAGGTTTGTAATATGGTTGAAATCAGGAAGTATGATGCCTTCAGCTTTGTTCTTCTTTCTCAAGATTGTTTTGGCAATCAGGGGTCTTTCGTGGTTCAATTTCCATATAAATTTTAGGATTTCTTTTTATTTTTGTGAAACGTGCCTTCGTAATTTTGATAAGATCGCATGGAATCTGTAGATTGCTTTGGGTAGTGTAGACATTTTAATAGTATTAATTCTTCCAGCCCATGAGCACAGAATATCTTTTCATTTATTCGTGTTTTCGTCAGAGGCTTACCGTTTTCAGCATACTGATCTTTCACCTCCTTGAATAAATTTATTATTAGTTGTTTTATTCTTTTGTATGCAATTTTAAATGGGATTGTTTTTTTCAGAACTGTGGTGTTAACATAGGTGAGGATTGAGCCTTCCAGCCCTGTCCTCTCTCACTCGCCCTCCTGAGGGTTCCACTGTTTGCAATCATCTCTTTCCTGTGGACTCCTCTCACCTCCTCGCTCACCTCCTCGCTCACCCCCTCGCTGCTACATTTTACCTGATACCTCCTTGGGGCCGGCATGTGCCTTGGCTTTGCTCCCCTCATTGAGTGGCACCTTGATCTGATGTCAGTGAGCATGCTAAGGCGCACCCTCAAGGTCCACAGAACGGGACGTGCTGGGTTCCCCCACCTCCCCTTACAGGAGTTTTCTTCGCATTAGCAGCCCCTGGCAACCAGCTCAGAGCTCTTGCTAGCTTTTTGCATGTGCATGTTCCCCTTTTGCTTCCCCATTGTGCACTATTAAAACTCGCCTATTTGTTGGTAAGATGCATTTCATGCAAGACACATAGCAAGTGGCACCCTCCTCTTTTTGAGAAATAATCCAGGCGTCCACCTTGAGAAGCACAAGTCCTGCATGTTCGCAATAGCATCATCATCATGTTTAATACAGCCACACATGCGCACTGCACGCTCTGGGGGTGCTGTTCCCATAGGCTGCAAGGTCAGGGGCATGCCCTCGAGTTGTGTAGAGCAGAGGCCCTAAGACTGGTGATGCTTAAAAAGATCATGCATCTTATTGTTTATTAAGCTCTGGACCAAGCACTGTGTGCAAAACCTCATTTAACTTTTTCCAGACTCTAATGTAGTCATGAACTTTCCATCCTCACTTAAAGGTGAGGAAACCTGAGGCCTAGTTGGGTTGGTTCATCCAAGTGCATGCGTTTCCCAAGTAGTAAGGCTGGGGTTTGCGGCCCAGCGCCTGGCCTCTGGAGCGTATGCTCTGAATCTTTATATTCCACTGCCTTCCATGTACCATGTGACTCATTCATTTCCCTCTCACGGGCTTGCCCAGCCTCTTACTGCCCCATTGGCATCAACGTAGAATTCCCTTTACTGGGAGACCACCTCCACCTGCTTCCAAAATGAAATTCTTGGTTCGGTTGGTTGATGATCAGACCCACGCCCTGTGATTGGGTGACTGGGGAGTCTTGATGTTGTTGGAGCACCTCAGTGGGCCGCTTTGTTTATTGCGAGG